CCCCCCACCCCGACCTAGGTGCTGGGTCTGTTGCCGGTTGCTTCTGGGGCGCTGCTGGCAGTGCAGGCTGCCTTAGCCCCCTCACTGCTCACTTGATCCCCCTGCAACCATGAGCCCCAGGGCCCGACATTCCACCGCCCACTGCTGCGGTGCGACCCCTCGTTTGAAAACCGCTGGCTCTGCGCTAGCCTCAGGGGCCAGGACCCGGGGCCAGTCTGGGTGTTGCTGCCCCTGCTGCAGTGCGTTGGGTCATCTTGCCGAAGCAGATTCGGTGGATGCTGCCCGTAACGGGGCCATTCCATAGAACACGGAACACTAGAACTGGGAGCGACCTCAAGAGGTCATCAAATCCAGTCCCCTGCCCGCATGGCAGGAGCAAGCACCGTCTAGATCAGGCCTGAGCAAAATATGGCCCATGGGCCAGATCTGGCCAGCCAAGCCGCTGGATCTGGCCCGCTGATGCTGGTGTCTCTCCCCACCCACACATGCCTCAGAAACATGGCTGTGGGGCAGTTTCACTTAGAAACTGAGCCCTGTGGGGAGAGGAAAGCTTTAGGGGCTGCTCCCACCCCAGCACAGTCCCATTGGCCGGCTTCTGGCCAGAAACTGGCCAATGGGAGGTGCCTGTTTCAATAACAGGCAGCCACGAAACACAAGGGGCTCCTAGTTATTCACAGAGTACATGGCTGCAGCCTGTGCGGGGGTGGGGCAGGCAAGAAGGCTGATTCAGGAACGGGCTGCTGGCTGGTAAGTCTCCTGGCCAGACCCTGCCTCTGGCACCCCAGTCCCTCTCTTCCCCCAGGCCCGGCCTTAGGGCAAGGCGAGCAAGATGGTTGCTTTGGGGTCCCACGCTGCCCGGTGCCCGCCCACCCAGCTGCTCACTTGCTACCCTGGCTGAGAGCTGCCTGGCCATGCGGTGCAGCCAACCACAACATGCCACCTAGGGCCCCACAAACTCTTTGGCCAGGCCTGCCTTCCCCAACCTTTGCCCCCCATTCCTGCCCCCCTACTCCACATTCGGTGCCATAGGTCAGAACTGCCTCCTTCACCCAAACTCCCTCCCTTACCCCAAGCTTCCTTCTGCACCCCACCTCCATCCCAGACCCGGCACCGCCTCCATTGATATCATGGACGAGCGTGGCCCTCGACTACTTTCCAAAGTCCTGGAGTGGCCCCCCATCAAAAATGATTGTCCACCTCTGATCTAGACCATCCCTGATTGATGTCTGTCTAACCTGCTCTGAAATATCTCCAGAGATGGGGATTCCACAACCTGCCTGGGCAATTTATTCCAGTGTTTGACCACCCTGACAGTTAGGGACTTTCTCCCTCGTGTCCAACCTAAACCTCCCTTGCTGCAGTTTAAGCCCATTGCTTCTTGTCCTGTCCTCAGAGGCCAAGGGGAACAATTTTTCTCCCTCCTCCTTGTGACACCCTTTTAGATACCTGAAAACTGCTATCGTGTTCCCTCTCGGTTTTCTCTTTTCTAAACTAAACAAGCCCAATTCTTTCAGTCTTCCCTGATCGCTCATGTTCTCTCGACCTTTCCTCATTTTTGTTGCTCTTCTCTGGACCTTCTCCAATTTCTCCGCAGCTTTCTTGAAACGGGATGCCCAGAACTGGACACACGACTCCAACTGTGGCCTAATCCATAGCAGGGTTCTTTCTTTCTCCCCCTCTCTCTGCTGTCTGATGGGAAGTAACACTCCTGGTGCACAGAACCGTGCGGCCGAGCGTCTCGAGCAGTCGTCCAAAAACGGGGCTGTGGAGTCGGCACCCCCCTCGACAAGCCCATGGTCACGCAGAGCAATGCTGGGAAGAGGTCCCAGGTTGCCAACTCCCCAGTCCCCAGCTATGGTATTCGCTGCCCCCTACTGGCATGTGTAGTGCAAAGGGGCGGCCACCAACAATGGGGGTCCCATTCTCACCCGCGGGAGGGGGAACGGCTGGTGCTTTTGTTCGCCCCTCCCCCTAACTGGGGCTCTCTGTCTCCTTTCCAGCTCTGGGATAGCACCGGGAATCTACCATGTCCGCCGATGTCTGGGTGGGCTCCTGGAGACCCCACCGGCCCAAAGGGCCCATCGCTGCTCTCTACAGCAGTCCCGGGCCCAAGTATGGGCTCCCCACAAACGTAGGTGAGAGAGAACGTCAGCAAGGAGCCGGCCAGGCTGGCGAGAAGGGGAGCCCCCCAGGTTCTGTGGGGAGTGGCCCGGCATCATGGAGAGAGGGTCACATGTACCAGCTGGCAGGCCCCAGGCACACGCCCAGTGCTCTGTTTTGGGGGGCTCTCACCTGCACCCCACGGCCTACCTGAGGGAGCTTTCCCCTCCCCCTGCTCCGCTCAGTTCTGGGCTGGGCCTGTCCCAGTGACCCGTGTGGAGATAGCTCTGCCCTGCCCCACACGTCCTTCAGGGCTGGGCCTGGGGACTCTGCCTGCCTGCCCCATGCCCTCGGCACCCTCGGCACCCTGGCTCCATTGCTCCTTCCTGTTGCAGGTTACCCCCTTCACGACCCCTCCCGCTACCGCGCCCCCGCCTACAGCTTCGGCATCCGCCGCCTGCAGCTGCAGGATGCCTGCTCTCCGGGGCCCAAGTACAAGGTGCCCGACAAGATGACCATGAGGGGCAAAGATGGGATCCCGGCCTACTCCATCTACGGCCGCCCCAAGGACCTGGTGAGTCTGCTCCCTTCTCCCTTGCCAGGGCAGGCCAAGCCCTGCTGATCGATGGAGGCCTGTGAGGGAAAATGTCGGCACAGGGCTGTTCCTCCTGGGTAGGCCCGATGTGATTGCCCTGCACCCTACAGGCTCCCTGGAAAGTTATTTTTTAAAAAAGGAGACGCCGGCGATTACAGAGCAGG